GATGTCCCAGATAGCTGCCGACCCCAAGGGCCACAAGTTTTATGTTGCTCGTCAAACTAGAACTTCGAATTTCATGATGGTGCGTTCTGACTGCGGCAAGTACAGTCAAACTCTCAGGCTCCAGGCGGGGTGGTGACAGGGCACAGTGGAGACTCGTCTGTGCAGGCAAGCACCCAAAGTCCTCTTTAAAGGCCCCGTCTCTCTTCCAGAGCCCTCCTCAGAGGCTCGTCGAGTTTATTGCCGCCGAAGCAGTCATAATCGAGAAAGCCCAGTCCTTACAGCAGGACGCAGGGCCTGAGCGGAGCTAACCTGCTGCGCTCTCCAACCACGTGCTGATCCTCATCCTCCTCCTCCTACTCGCTCGCTCGCTCGCTCACTCACTCACTCACTCACTCAATTACCCCATGGCGCACGCCGCGGTGCTCAGCACCTCCACAGCGCGGCCGCGCCGCCGCGTCGCGCGGCGCCGCGCCCGCCGAACCGCATGAGGGCGGGGTTCCAAAGGACCCCGCAGGAGAGGGACCCCGCAGGAAAGGAAGGGACAGCGGGGACCCAGGGCCCAAGACACCCACGAGCAAGCCCCAGAGGGTCCGAAGCATGGCCCACCGCCAGAGGAGAGAAGGGACGCCTCCGAGGGCGTAAGGGAAGAGAAAGAGGGGGGGAGGGGCCGCAAGGGCCAAAGAAAAGGACGGTGGCGCAAGGCCTGAATCTACGCTCCATGCTGCTGCCACGCCGCGGCACGGCCAACAGCGCCCGCGGGATCGCCAGCCCGACGGCCACCAGCGCCCGCAGCGCCACGTAGGAGCTCGCTCAGCTCTTTCTCTCTCCCTCTCTCTCTTTCTCTCTCTCTCTCTCTCTCTCTTTTTCTCTCTCTCTCTCTCTCTCTCTCTCTTTCTATATATATGTATATATATATATATATGTTTTTGTTTTTCTCTCTCTCTCTCTCTCTCTGTCTCTCCGTGGCGGTCTGGTGGCGCATGCCCAGGCCGCTGGCGAACACCGTTCTCCTGCACTCCGTACGCGACGCACCAAGAGCTGGGAACTCGCCCAGCGCGCTCGGGTGCGGACGATCTGCGCGGTATGGTGGCAGGAGCAGGGCGCACGGGATGCTCATCTTGGCGGCCATCTCCGTAATGTCGATGGCCACCCGTAGCTCGGCACTGTCGGTGGCGACCGCTTGCTTCTTCGTCTGGGTCAGATGCCGCACTCCCCACGTCGTCGTAATCTCCCGCAGGGTATTCTCGGTATCTTGAACCGTTGTCCATCTCGAACTCCTCGGTATGACCACGATGGCGCTGGACTGGTTCGCTGTATGATACCATCGGGACCTAGCGTGAAACCCGTCGCTCCTTCTTCAGCGTCTGGTCCTTCTCGCTGTCGCCGTTGATCATCCAGATGATGCTGTCCCCGTCCGGGGTGCCCCGGATGGCCGCTGTGGTGCCTCTCCGTGGTGTTGGGGGAGTTGCAGCATCGTAGGAGTTGGACGGTAATGGACGGAGGCTGTGTGCGCAGTAGTTCTTCAGCAGGGCGTTGGAGAAGCGATGTCCTATCAGCGTCTTCGTCGGTATGCGCTTGCCTCCTGGCGGGCTGCAGTGCCTTGTCTTCTCTCCATCCTCTGTGCTTCAGGTTCTTGATGGTCTCCACGTCCTCGTCCATGAGCCTCTGCACGTCGGCACGGTCCACCGGGTCGCGGTTCGCAACGTATGCGTGAAGGCATACCGTGTTGCGGTGACGCAGGTGTCGGATGAGTCGCACCCAATTGTGGAATTTCGTGTCACAGCATTCGCATCGGGATCCGATTGCGTAGAATTGGGCGTCTTCTGTGGGGAGGTGTTTTTTGGTGCGGTGCCGCGCCGCAGTCGTAGCATGTATAGTGCGTCACGTCGCGGTGCTTGTCCTGCTGGGGATCGAGTGAGTCGCCTGCGTGGCCGTCGCCAAACCTTTCTGCATGCGATCGCTTCCATAGTTGGTGCTTGCAGTCCTCGATCCACGCTCTTTTATGCGCCTCCCACTCTCCTGATTATCTTGGGCATCTTCTCGGCCCCCGCCTTGCAGTAGTCGATCCAGCCCTTGACGTTTGTCCCTCGAAGGTAGGCCTCCCTCACCCGTGTGATCGCATAACTATCCGAACTCTGTTTTCAGCTGTACGTGCCACGGGTCGTCTGTCTGAAAGGTGACATCGAGCAGGTTGAGGAGCGTCTCGGGGGCGTTGCGCACAACGTTGTTGAGATATCGTAATGTGCGCGCCGTGGCTGTCGCGCCGAGCCCTGCTCGCTCCGTGGCGATGTAGACCTCCTGGTCGTTGACGTGCTGTGCGAGCCGATTGCGGCAGTGTAGTCTAGCTGCTGCGCGAGATTTTTTGACGTGTGCTGCTTTCAATGTCTTTCGGTCGGCCGCCGTCATTCCGCACCAGAGCTCCGCTTGGTATGTGAGCCGAGCGTATGTCATGGCATCATCACTCCTACTCTTCCTCCTCCTCCTCCTCCCTCCTCCCTCCTCCTCCCTCCTCCCTCCTCCTCCTCCTCCTCCGCCCTCCTCCTCCTCCTCCTCCTCCTCCTCCACCTCCTCCACCCGCCTCCTCCTCCTCCTCGGGTCGCCTACGGCCCCAGGGGAAACCTTGCACACTGCTTCTAGATGCGAAGCGGTCTCTGCACGTGTTGTTTGTTATTGGTCGTAAGTCGGGCGTGTCCTTTCACAGGACGAGTATTCAGAAAATAGTCCAGAAATTAGTCTGGGGACGATTTTTATTACAATGTTTGCCCATGTGGGGGTATTGTTTCACTATTTGTCATTTGTCATCCAAATCCGCCCAGGCCAGGCGTCCTGGACGGCGCCTGTCTCGTGTGCCTCCGAGGGGAGGCCCTCCGCCCTCGGTGAGAGCACACCTCGAGAGGACCGGGAGGTGTTGCCGGGAGGGCCAAACAAAAACCAAGGACGCCCAGAGGGGAAGCAGAGGGGAGGGGAGGACACAGGAGCAGGAGAGTTATCCTCCTCCTCCTCCTCCTCCTCCTCCTCCTCCTCATCCCTCCTCCTCCTCCTCCTCCTCATCCCTCCTCCTCCTCCTCCTCCTCCTCCTCCTCCTCCTCCTCCTCCCCTCCAACTCTGCCTAGCCTCCTAGAAACCTTCGGTTCTGGAACACCCGATCCAGATCACGCTTGAGTGGGTCTCGGGCAGTGCTAGAATCAGCGAGGCGGCGTCTACGGGGCAGGCGTGAGGCGGGGACGACAGGAACGAGTTTGGAGTCTGCAGCGTCCTGTTCACGACGATGTGCAGGAAGGTGCGGAGAGCCTTGGCCTCGGTGGGATAGTGTGGGGGCAGTGCATCGCTTGACCCCCGTGAGGAAGGGGGGAACTTGCGCGGTGCAACATGTGCGGTGCAAGCTGCGTGGCGTACTCTTGCTGGTTCGGACTGTGCGTGCGCCCTGAAACGCGAGCCGGCGCACGAGGCGCCCTCGGGCGCCCACCAGCTGAGAGTCGGGCGGACCCAGCCAGCCCACGGGACGCTCGCGGTCGCCCGCCAGGCCAAACCTCCGGCGGGCCCGTGCTGCGCACGGGGCGCCCACGAGGCGCATACGGGCGCACGCCACCCGAAGCCCAGCGGAGCCACCCAGCGCACAGGGCGCACACCAGCGCCCACTGACCGAAGTCAGCCTGGCGAAGGACCCAACCACTTACAGTTGTGGGTGCCGCGGCTGTCAGTATCCCGTCGTGGATGATGAACCCGAAAGGAGCATACGGAAAGTGCGTCATAGCCGTGGAGCATCAAGAATATGATCTTCGTGAGGATCTCGGAGGCCTTTGAGGCCGTCTTGGGAGCCGCTTCGGGTGCATCGAGACCGTCTTGGGCCTCCCTTGGCCGTCGTCGGAGTACATTGTGCCCGTGTTGGAGCTGCTTGGCGCTATCTTTCAAGGAAGGGAAAACCACCTGGACCAGATAATCGGCGTTTACTAAACGGCCCTTGGCGTTTACCAAACAGCCCTGCCCTGTTCGATTCTTTCTTTGGTCGCGTTTGCTAAACGACATCGCGTGTCAGGGCGGTTATTATGGGGGTGGATTTGTTGACCTCTAATCTTGACCCTTCGTCGGGCCATTTCTGTGAGTCGCCTTGAATTTGGAGGTCCCCGGAGGCCGTTCTCAGTTGCACGGGGGTCACCCAGAGGCCCAGACCTCGGGTGGGCGGGGATCCCCAGAGCCGGGTGCGAGGAATACGCGAGGCCACTCCCTCTTCCTTCCCCGTGGTGGGCGGAGGGCTGGGGGGAGGCGAGTCGAGCCTGTATGGTCGATTTGACTGTCGGAGTCGATGTAGCCCCTGTCGCGTTGTGGCTCCGCGCAAGCCCGAAGGGCGTATGCACCGGACCCAGGCCCTGGACGGGCTTGGCCGTCTGTGGGGTGGTCCGCTGGCGGCACCGGGCCCCCTCACATTCTTGGGGTCGGGGCTCAAGAGACGGGGGTCAGTGCAAACGGGGCTCGGCCAGAGCGCCGGATCTTGCAGGATCCTGCAGGGCCAGGGGCGCACTGACCCGGGCTTGAGTGCAGGATCCTGCGAGGCCTGACTAACCCGGGTCTGGATTGACCCAGGTCAGAAGATCTTTAAGGGGGGGTGATGATGATGACGACGATGATGATGGTGATGATGATGATGATGGTGATGATGATGATGATGATGATGATGATGATGATGATGATGATGATGATGTTGCTGCTGCTGCTGCTGCTGCTGCTGATGATGATGATGATGATGATGATGATGGTGATGATGATGATGATGATGGTGATGCTGCTGCTGCTGCTGCTGCTGATGATGATGATGATGATGATGATGGCGATGGTGGTGGTGGTGATGATGATGATGATGATGATGATGATGATGATGATGATGATGATGATGATGATGATGATGATGATGATGATGATGATGATGATGATGATCTTCGAGGGGCCTGGCGGGCGCTGAGCGCCACACCGCGCCCCACGGCGCGCTCCGCGCGCGCCGAGAGGCCGGCGGCAGCGCGAGCGCCGAGCCCGCGGCGGAGGACGAGGCGCAGGGCCTGTCGGAGGAGCGGCGCAGCCCGCCCCCCGCCGGCGGCCGCCCCTGCGAGGGCTCGGCGGGCGGGCCCCCCCCCGCGCGGAGCGCCCCGGCGTGGAGTCGGGCCTGTCCCTCGACGGGAGGGGGCGGAAAAGAGGGGGGTGATGACTAATCGAGAGACTCTCCATGGGGGGGATCCTATGGGATACCCCCCCCTGGGATCCTATCCCCCCATGGGATCCCCCCCCCCATGAAGAGTCTCCCGAACTAAGGGGGGGGGGGGGATATCATGGCGGGGGCCACGATATTTCCCAAGGTCTCATGGCGCCTCTTCTTCTTGCTTCGTTGCGTCCCTGGCCCCCTCGCCGGGCCGCGCACGTGCCGCCGGTCATGATTTGCACCCCCCCCCTCTTGGACACCCCCCTCTGGCCGCTCCCAATACGGGAGGGCCCCCCCCCCCGCGCGGTGCGCCCCGGCGTTGAGTCGGGCCTGTTCCTCTTACGGGAGGAGTATTCCAAAGTAGTCAAGCAAGAGAACCTCAGGGGACGAATTCTCTTCTAAGATTACATTTGATCCTATGTTTGAACCTATTTGTGACGACTATTTTGAATTCTTCGTCCAAGATCCGCCTGTAGGAGGAGGGCCTGTCCCTCGACGGGAGGGGGCGGAAAAGAGGGGGGTGATGACTAAGGGGTGGGGTGGATATCATGGCGGGGGCCACGATATTTCCCCAGGTCTCATGGCGCCTCTTCTTGCTTCATTGCGTCCCTGGCCCCCCCGCCGGGCCGCGCACGTGCCGCCGGTCATGATTTGCACCCCCCCCCTCTTGGACACCCCCCTCTTGGCCGCTCCCAATACGGGAGGGCCCCCCCCCCCGCGCGGAGCGCCCCGGCGGTGAGTCGGGCCTGTTCCTCTACAGGAGGAGTATGCCAAAGTAGTCGAGCAAGAGAACCTCAGGGGACGAATTTTCTCTTTTGATATTACATCTGATCCTATCTAATTTTATGTTTTTGTTTGAACCTATTTATGATGACCATCTGGCCAGAAGCAGAGATGACACGAGTCGAAGAAGAATAACGGCGTAAACATAATTTTTGGCGCTCCGCGCCGGTTTCTTGGATCTGCACTGGACCCCGCTCCCTGGCGCGCTCCGCTCGCCAGGGGTGGCGCTGGAGGCGCCGCCAGGGGGGTCCAGCGCGGATCCGAGAAATCCGCGTGGACCTCCGCCGAGTTTTCATGTTCCCTACCTAGGCTCTGCCTAGAAGGGTTCTTACTCTCTTAGCTTAAAGAGGCCGGGCAGTGCTAAGCGCCCCGGGCGGTTCCCCCAGTCCCCTGGGAGCGGTTCCCCCCAGTCCCCTGGGAGCTTTAGCTTTAGCTTTAGCTTTAGCTTTAGCTTTAGCTTAGCTTTAGCTTAGCTTTAGCTTAGCTTTAGCTTAGCTTTAGCTTTAGCTTTAGCTTAGCTTTAGCTTAGCTTTAGCTTAGCTTAGCTTAGCTTAGCTTTAGCTTAGCTTTAGCTTAGCTTTAGCTTAGCTTTAGCTTAGCTTTAGCTTAGCTTTAGCTTAGCTTTAGCTTAGCTTAGCTTAGCTTAGCTTAGCTTTAGCTTAGCTTAGCTTAGCTTAGCGCTTTAGCTTAGCTTTTCGCTTAGCGTTTAGCTTAGCTTTAGCTTTAGCTTAGCTTTTAGCTTAACTTTAGCTTTAACTTTAGCTTAGCTGTTAGCTTAGCTGTTGCTCAGCTGTTGCTCAGCTTTAGCTTAGCTTTAGCTTAGCATTAGCTTAGCTTTAGCTTAGCTTTAGCTTAGCTTTAGCTTAACGTTAGCTTAGCTGTGGCTGAGCTTTAGCTCAGCTTTAGCTTTAGCTTAGCTTTAGCTTAGCGTTACTGTTACTACTAATGCTGCTTTCCTAGGGGTTCCAACTCCTAGGTAGGGTCGCACTGGGATAATTTATGTCAATGTTCGTTTCGCTATTGGAGGCTGAGCTTGTGGAGTGGGGGCGAGCGAGCGGGATCCTTCCGGGGGGGGGGCTTCTTCACCGGTGTTTCCTTGCGTTGTAGGCCTCGTGTGGCCTTCTTGTGGCCTTCTCCCCTTTCTCGGGCCTCTGCCTCCTTCTTTTTCCGCCTCCTCCTTCTCATCCTTCGGCCTCCCCTGCCTCGTTCTCAGCTGTCCTGTGCACTCCGCAAGGCGGAACCAATATCGATATCTATATATATATATATATATAGAGACAATACTGCAGTGGCGCTTCGCGCCATGCATCTTGGTCCTTGAAGTTTGGCACGCAGGCGGAATAGCAGGAAGGTCAAGCCGACAATATAGCGATAATTCCTTGTTGCATTTTCCGGCATCGCCGCTATAATAATGTTATTCGTTATCTTTCCTCCATGCCTCTTTTTCTTCATTTTCGCCATACCCTGCGCATTCTCCTCTATTTTGCAGAGGCTCCTCCTTGGAGAGCCTCACAAAAGTTGTTTCAGGCTTTCTAAAGGCCTTCTGGAGGCCTCCTTGGTGTATTCTGGGGGCCTCTGGGGGCTTCCTCGGACCACCCTGCCTCCAACCGCAGTCTCCCTGCACGACCGGGTCACGATTTGGAATGCTTCGGGGCGCCTTGGCCGCTATGGGGCTCTCTGAGGGCCATCTTGGACCGTGTTGTGCCGTTTTGGGGCTCTCTTGGACTGCCTGGAAGCCCTTTGGGATGGTTGTGGGGCGATTTTGGAGCCTCCCAGGCGGCGTCGGACGCCCAGGAGACCGCCCGTCTTGGAGCGTCGGGAAGCTGAAAAGAGGAGAACCCCCAAATTCACCAAAAACCAGCAGAAACTCAATTATTTTTGCCTCTGGGGGCCTTCTTGGGAGTGCTCTTGGAGGCCTCTTTGGGGCCGTCCTGGAAGCCTCTTGGGCCATCTTGAGGCCACGTAGGTCACTGTTGGAGCGCTCTTGTGCTGTCTTGGGGGTCTTTGGGATGTATCCGATGACTCCCCTGATCGCCCCAGGTGTGATTGTGCGATGGGGGAAGGCTTGGCAAAACGCCCTGCGAGGCCCAGGGGGGGCGCTTCGAGGCCCGTCCGGAGGACCCCAACGCCCCAGATCTTGGGAGTCCGTTTTTTTTGGTTTGGGGGGGGGCGGGTTTTCCCCCCGCCCGGGCTTGCAAAGATATAGGAAGGAAAATATCGGAGGTTGGGGCGTGAGATCGCAGTGGAACGGAGACCCCTAATCCGATAGCCCTTATAACGGCGACGATGGAACACAGTGCCGGGGAACTGCTTTGAACATCACCAGTCGTTCAAAGCAGTGCCCCGGCACTGCATTGAACGATGCGGAAATGCGATCAGCAGGAGCCTTCGTCTGTTCCTTCTCCTCTTCTCGTCGCTGTATGCTCTTCCTTGTCCTCCCTCCTCCCCCGTTCCCTCTCTAATTAATTACCTCGTTCTCCCAGTCTCACGCGCACTCTTCCTCCCCCCTCTCCTCCTCCTCTTCCTGCTTCTCCTCCTCGTCCTCCTCCTCCTCCGCCTCCTCCCCCTCATTTGTTATATTTCTCCGTCCTTGTCCTCCTGTCCCCGTTCTCCTTCTCCCTCTCCTCCTCCTCCTCCTCCTCGTCGTCGTCGTCCTCCTCCTCTTCCTCCTCCTCCTCCTCCTCCTCCTCCTCTTCCTCCTCCTCCTCCTCCTCCTCCTCCTCCTCCTCCCCTTCTTCCTCCTCCTCCTCCTCCCCCTTTTCCTCTCCCTCCTCCTCCTCCTCCTCCTCCTCCCCCTTCCCCCTCTTCCTCCTCTGCTATCACTCCTCCATAATTCCTGTCCGCTCCTCCCCTTCACTGATCTTCCTCTTCGTCATCATCATCCCTTTCGTCGCACGCCTCTTAATCCTCAATCGGTTCCCAATCTTCTCGACTTTCTTGTCATCCGCGTCCTTGGCTGTTGGAGGGGCCTCAGGAATTCTCAGGGCTCTTGTGTTGCACGCGAAGGCACACCTCCCAGGAACGCATCATCCTCCTCACATTCACCCTCCTCCTCCTCATCCTCCTCCTCCATGCACGTTCGGCTCAAGCCCGCGCCGACGGTAGGTTTCACGGCGGTTGGGCGGGCTCGCGCCCGCCTCCGCGGCCTGCAGTCGGGGCAGAGATGCGTGCAGGGTGGGATGACAAAGCGGAAGAGGAAACACGGGCCGCAGTTGCGGATTCTTCAAAGAGCAGCGGCGGCGGTTGGGGAACAAGTGGGGGTTGGGGCGGCCGCAGTGGCGGATACGGCGGCGGAGGTGACCGCAGTGGCGGCTGGGGCGGCGGAGATTCTCTTGGCGGATGGAGAGGAAAAGCGCAGGATGGCGGCGACGGAAGTGACCGCAGTCGCGGATGGGAGGGCGGCGGATGGGGCGGCAACGGATGCGAGGGTTGGGGAATGGAGGGCGCCCGCTGGTGGGACGACGAGGGTGGCTGGTGGAATGCATGGGAAGGTGGCCGCTCGAGTGCCTCGGCAGGTTCTCCTGCCGCGGAGCCCGCGGCCGCAACAGCGGCGGGCAAAGGAGGCGGTCCCCTGCTTCCCCCAGGGCGCGAAGAACAAGGCGCAGTTGCGCTGTTTCAAATTGTGCGCAATGAGCCGCTGCCAATTTTCAAGTTGGAATTCTTCGAGAACTTCAGGGCGAACTGGAACGGCAATTATAAGCAGCACAACGCGGCCTTGAAGTGGTTCCGAGACGAGTACGAAGACCGAGAAAACCCTTTCGGCAGCCGCACGCCCGTCTTCGGAGGTACCGCAGTTGCGGAGGAAATTTCGAAGATCCTTAAGTACCGCGCAAAGGGGAAGGCGCAGGACAACAGGGATTGGGACTGGGACCACACTGTCAAAGTGCCGTGGTCTTGGCTGGAGATGGTCGCGCAGATGGATGGACCTACAATGCTGCGCGTCGTGTGCGGCCCTGACAATGACCGCAGTCGCGGGTTGGTCCGCTGCGAGTGCCGCCCGTGCCCTAGCAGTCTCGACAACATGAGGCACACGAAAGGGGTGGACAGAGGACAGGCGCAAAGAATCCCTCTGCCCCAGTGGGATTTCGT